ATTACTAATGAATCCTAGGTCTTTTTACAAGGGAACTTCCCTTCATAGAAGTATGGTTAAATAGATAAAAAAAAATAAATAATTCATACTTATCTAGGTGGATGCAGCTGTACCTGTCAGCTCTGTACTGAGAACTGAGCGATTAAACATCTCCCTCTGAACTGGAGTGCTGGTGAGTGCATCTAGCGGCTCTCAGTGGCATGCTGCATTATGGTGGATCCTGACTTAAAGTCACGCTCTTTCCACAGCCTGAACCAGTTCACTGACATTAGCTAAAGCCCGCTGTCCGCTGAAAATGGGAAATGGGTGCAGAACAAATAAGCTTTGGCTATACTTCTCTTTTAAGTAACGGAGGTACCTGTGATCCTTACTTCTAAGCCAAAAAAAGTTTGATATATTCACCTGATAACTGAAGCCTTGGAGCCCTGTAAGCCCAATATTAGTGACACTAAACTACCTCATCTACTGAAGCCTTTAGTAGTGTCCAAAAGAAGAAGAAAAAAAACCCCCCAAACAAATGAAGTATATATTCTGTAAAAAATAAAAGCCCTCCTCAGATCTAAAGGCTCAACATTGAAGAATGGCAACATAACTTCCTGGGTCCTATAAAGTGGCCACATCATTGGATACACACTGTACGTTTTACAGCATCAGGCAGATACTTCCCACAGTGAAGCTGAAGCCAAACCCTAAGAGGTACTAACTGCACTAGTGGGGTATGTTTAGAAAGAAAAGGACAGAACATTTCACTTACCAAATTTTTCGCTCCATAAGACACACTTTTTTCCCCCCAAAAAAGGGGGAAAAAAATGTCAGTGCGTCTTATGGAGCAAATATGGAGCGGCCAGTCCGGTATTTCCATCGTCGCCACCATGTCAGAATACCGGGCCGGCCGCTCAGCTCTTCTCTCCTGCAGGACCTTACCTGTTCCTCTGTCCAGCGCTGTAGTCTTCCCGTGCCGGCTTCTGTGACAGCTGGGTGCCCACTGCGCATGCGTGAGAAGCGCTGCGCTTTGTGAATGGTCCGGCGACTTCTGGACACATGACAGGTCCCAGAAGGCACGGGGCCATTCACAAAGCGCAGCGCTTCTCGCGCATGCGCAGTGGGCACCCGGCTGTCACAGAAGCTGGTGCGGGAAGAAGCCAGTGTGCCCACACTAAAGAAAGGACAACTTCAGGTACCCGCTCCCCCTCCCCCAAAGGTCCGCAGTCCCCAAAGGTCCGCAGTCCCTGGCATTTTCCCTGTGCTGTGTCCGCAGTCCCTCTGGCATCCCCCCTGTGCTGTGTCCGCAGTCTCTGGGCATCCCCTGTGCTGTGTCCGCCGCAGTCTCTGGGCATGGGCATCCCCTGTGCTGTGTCCGCAGTCTCTGGGCATCCCCTGTGCTGTGTCCGCAGTCTCTGGGCATCCCCTGTGCTGTGTCCGCAGTCTCTGGGCATCCCCTGTGCTGTGTCCGCAGTCTCTGGGCATCCCCTGTGCTGTGTCCGCAGTCTCTGGGCATCCCCTGTGCTGTGTCCGCAGTCTCTGGGCATCCCCTGTGCTGTGTCCGCAGTCTCTGGGCATCCGCAGTCCCTGTGCTGTGTCCGCAGTCCATTGGTTCAGAATATTTTTTTTCTTGTTTTTCGCCTCTAAAACCTAGGTGCGTCTTATGGTCAGGTGCGTCTTATGGAGCGCAAAATACGGTATTCTATGACTTATTCTATGGGCCTGAATGACGGGCGGTTTAAGCCACCTAGAATAGTGTAAAAAGAGGTAAGCAGTTACTTATGGAGACTTAGCAGAAAAATTACTAATAAGATCAGAGGGTTCAAAGATCAAAGAACAAGATCTGTGAACTGGCCTTGATAATATTAAAGGCCAACACTTAATCCACACCTGACTGGTGAAAAGTAAGGGCACATCTCCATGGAGTATTTCCTGGTACGAAACTTTGTTTCACATCCTGTGATCAATGATTTCTAAGTGTGTTTGTAGAGCTTGTGATAAAAGGATTTTGTAGCTGGAGAAGCACACTTTAACAACTCAGCTGTAAAATCCAGCAACCATGAAGCATAATCCTTAAGGCAAACTATCCCTGCAGGATGGAAAAACCAGTGGAGTCTACCAGTAGCTTGATAAGACATCAGCCTGGCTATATCATATCTGCCTGACTCAGTTTAAATCAATTAGAATGGATGGAATGCGGTCCATCCTGACCCTGCAAAACAGATGTTGAAGGAGCGCCTCAGCAGGATAGGCATAGTTTAGGCTGACATGATCCCACAGTGTCACCAAAGTTTCAAATGCGCTGACTAGAAGATACTCAGAGCTAAAACCATGCTGTTGGTATAGATAGATGGTCTCTGGGGAAAAAAAATAAATAAAAAATGGCTAGGTCAAGGCCAAGCTTTGATCAAGTAAAGACTGAAGAAGAGGCAGGATTTGTCCCACGTAGAACCTCGCAAAACAAAACTTCCTATCCAATTGCAGACTGAGGGAACTCAATTTTCTTAGCTTTAAGAAGGGAATGACAGAATGTGTTAGGCCTCCATCTCTCAGGACCCAATGCTGTCAAAGTCAATGAACAAAAAGCAAGATTCTACACTAACCCTTGAGACAAAAAGCCCTATTGTCTGGAAGAGAACATTTCAGGAATCTGAAGAGGTCTAAGTGCCACGTTCTCTTGGCCTAGTTTGGGGCAATGATTATTACCAGAAGGCTCTCAGTTTCTATTCTGTGGAGTAACCAAGAAAGGTGTGGATCAGCTATAACTGGTCCCACACAGCAAACAGGAGGGATATTCAACTGTTATTGTTTCCTGTAGAAGGAGGTTAGTGTCCTGGAAGATGATTAGAGAAACACCCCTATTCTTTAGGACCTAGTTTTCAACAGCCAGGTTATAAAGCCAGTCAGAATCAGAATAGTATAGGGGGCCTTGGGCTAGTCTGTTTGGAACAGAACAAGACGTGTTCGCCAGATGTCTGAGTAGGTCTGTGTACCACAATCTTCTGGGCCAGTTTGGTGTGATGAGGATCACTAGAACCCTTTCCTCCTCTTTCTTGAAAATGAATCAACCAGACATCCATAGAATAGATCCATAGAGGATCCCTTGTCTTGGTTACAAATCTGTTCAGCTTGTTATTGAACCTGAGAGGTCAGGATGTCCACATCTGGTTCTCCTCACCTTTAACAGAAATTTTGAAGGATATCTGGGTGCAGAGACCACTCCCTTGAATGTAGGCATTGGCAGCTGAGGACGACTGCCTACCAACTGTTGGGGCAGCTTGACTTCTGGTGCCCCCTTTACATAACTGTTGTAGCATGATGATACCTGGACTTGGTGACCTTGTAGAAGGGTGGTCCAGTGTTGTAGAGGTAATTCTTCCTGAGGGACCTTATGGAAGCAACTTTTCTTGGGGAAGGAAAATTATGGCTTTGGCTGTATGCCTGCCTGGATTAGACCCAGGTACTCCAGATGGCAAGGGGGCTGGAGAGCAAAGCTGGAAATCTGATTATCCAGCCAAAGGTTTGAATGAACTGCATCATCCTCTGAGTGTTGGTAGCCAAGGTTGAGTCAGAGGAGTCCTTCAGTAGAAGGTTGTCCAGATAACCTGTGACATGAATGCTCTGGGTTTGTAGGGTGCAGAGGAGAGCCAGAGTGGTAGCTCTACCAATTGAAAGTGATGGTCTCCCACAGAAAAATGCAGAAAACCTTGGTGCGAGGGGAATATGGGGATGCATAGATTAGCATCTTTACCGATGTCAGAAACTTGCCTTTGTCTTAAGAGACACGACGACAGATCTGGTCAACTCCTTAGTACACAAAGAACCAAGTCCATTAATTTCATTATAAGGCAGATGCCGACGCGCGCAGCCCCCCCCCCCCCCCCCCCCCCCCCCAATTTGTTTTTGGGACTAAAAAAAAGCCTTGAAACTGTTCTGCAAAAGAACTGCTACAACCACTCCTTGTGCCAACATTGATGCAAGGCAACTGTTAAATCTGCTTACTTTTGGCTTGAGACTTGTAGATGGAAGGTAAGAAGCAAGGAGGGCCAGCAATAGAAACTATTTTGTACCCCTGACCCTGTGGAGAGTTGGGTACTGTTAGATAAAGACTAGTGCTCATTGTCAATTAGTATCTATTAGAAAACATTTGTTGTGAAACCAGCTTGTGCCTCAAAATGCAGAGAAGGGAAAATCCTTTATAACCTCTGTTACAAAATCAGGGTCCTAAACACTCACTCCATATTATTCTCAAGGAAAGAAGTTCAACTTCTGAATTCTGAACAGGGTCAAGGGGAATAGAGGATGTGTAGTATTTCTCCTGTCTGGAAACTGAAGGTTCTAGGAGAATTTAGATGTAGTGGCAGAAAAACCTACTTTATTGCATGTCTGAGAGGGAGTCAGAATCAAATAATGGAAGTGAAGTTTAGATTCTGTTGCAGACCATCTGTGCAAAGCATGCTATCTGGCCCTTTTACCCCAGCTTCTTTGCATCTGTGGTCCACCATTGCCAAGTGAGGGTACTCACAAGTGGCGTGTTGAATAGCTGGAGTAGTGTGTATCCTGGGCCTGAAGGTTGGGTGGGGCAACTTGGTGGCGAGTAAGTTTTGTGACCGGCTAGTAGGTATGGACTCTAAATTTTAACCCCATTGGTTATATGGTGTGCACTGTCACTTGGTCGCCAAATTTTTTTGCCAGTGTCCTTTCAACTGAAGGTAGCTGCATAGAACCCATGGCATAATAAGTAGAGAAGTCTTCTAGGCTAGATAGAGTGGACATGGATTAGAACATCTGTCAGATTGCAATTGCTGTCTGACACGGTTAGGGAATTCACCCAAACCAATCTGTCACCAGAATGGGAATGGAGGGAAATCTTCCAATGGGGAATTTGTTCTATTGACAGAAGTCAGGACTGTAACTCTACCCTGCTCCATTGAAAGTAGAAATCTTAGTTCTACTTTAAACAAGCCAATTGAAAACCAAGTACTTTAATAAAATAGATGATCAAAAGGACTACATACCATAGGATGGTTTTGCGCCGTCTTTAACAAAGATAAAGGAAGCTGCAAAACAAAAAACATAGTACACCATAAATGAAAATGTTACAGTACGAACACATACAGTTGTGCTCAAGTTTACATACCCTGGAAGAAATTGTGACATTTTGGCATTGATATTGAAAATATGACTGATCATGCCACAAAATGCTCTTTTATTGAAGGATGAAGATCATACGAAGCCATTTATTATCAAATAGTTGTTTGGCTCCATTTTAAATCATAATGATAACAGAAATCACCCAAATGGCCTGGATCAAAGGTTTACACCCTGGAATGTTTGGCCTTGGTACAGACACACGGGTTTAAAATTCCAATTAGAGGTTAATGTCCACATCTTTGGCTTTTTAAATTGCAATTAGTGTCAGTGTATAAATAGTCAATGAGTTTGTTAGCTCTTACATGGAAGCACTGACTAGACACTGAGCCATGGGGATCAGAAAAGAACTGGCAAAAGTCCTGCATAACAAAGGTACTGGAACGTTATTTTAATGTGTGGGGAGAAAAAAAAAACCCCTGCTCTAGCAAAAGGGTTAAAGTGGAATTCCAGGTTATACCCAACCAATCTTAAAATGCTCCCTCCTCCCTTCAAACACCTGCTTAACCTGTGTAAAAATAAAGCTGCTCTGGTTCCTGCTCCCCTGTATCAGCTGTATGGGAGAGTGACGTCACCCATAGGCTCCTAAGGCCCATCCGTTGTTGGCGCTCCCTCCTCTCCCCTTCAGCTGCTGCTGGCTGACAAAGGGCAAGCGGATCAGGCCAAGAATATTCGCATTTTACACAGGTTAATCAGCTTAGCTGTTAGGAGGTTCAGGGTCACTAATTTGCAGCATTACTAAACCCCAGACCCTGCATTCACTATATCTGTTCTCCCCACACTTCACAAAACAAGGAACTGCAATTACTTTAGTAGATATACTGCTAAATACATTTTCTCATCAAGTCTTGTGACTAGTGTCCAACCGAGCACTGATTAAAGCTTGTAGGAGTTTTTATTCTGCTCTGACTGTCCTATGAGGTTGCATAACCCCTGACCCTCTATCTGGACAGTTCCGATTGGTCCTGTGCTGAACATGCACCCTCCCAAAGAATAACAAACTGTCTAGCAATACACACTAAACTGAGCATGTGCAGAGTGCCCCTTAGATTACAGATGGATTGGGGACAGTGGAAGATCAGAGAAGACATGATCACACAGCTTGCTTTTTTACATAATGCAGAGGATTAACCCCTTAGCTCCCAGTGAGTGCACCAAGCATGCTTTACTGCATATACATACTGATTGTACTGTTGTGGGTTTATTATCACTTTACGGTTAGTTAGGTGTACCCACTTGAAACTGAACAGTTTGCTGTTCCTCTAGTATACCCCACACACATACAGAAGTAGAACATCTCCCACCTACAAGGAAAGCTTAGGGCATTGGAGCCTTCCATTACACAGCTTTCACATAAGTTCGTCTACCCTAAACCAGCCCACTACAGAGGGACATTAATATTTCACTCGGGCATGTTCTACTAGAATGGTCTTCCGGTAAACGTTCCCGGAACGATTGCACGTACCATCTTTCACTTTGTCCCGCGTTCCCGGCACACACTTCCTCTCTGTTGCTCGGACAACCCACATACGAAAGAAACCGTCCGTTTGACTGACAGAACTTTCCACCTATCAAAGAGCACGTCTTACGTCCACATAAAAGCTTTCCGCTTGCGCTTTAGCATTTAAACACTAGAGCCAAGAGTTCTACGCTTCCGGCGGCCATATTTAAGAAGACCAGGTTTTTTTTAAAGATGGTTTTTGGGCTGTGAACACATGTATAGAATACAACAAACAGAAGTGATGCAGATACACATACACACGAAGAAAATTCATTTTTGATACATTTTAGATAGATGTTTTTGATCAGGGAGAGGTGAACGTGTATATTAATGAAATACTGCTCTTTGGCTTAGGCAAGCCGTACACTATACAATTTTCTTGAGAATTTTGCCTTAGATTTACCAAAAACCATATGAGGTCAAACCCAAATAACTCTTTCAATTGTATCCAATTAGGTAGGATACACTACATAGTTGCAGGTAAATCTAAAGGAAATTGGGCAGAAAATTGTAAGAACATTGTATAATGTATTGCCAGCCTTAGTTTGGAATTGTATATTTCTTTATAAATGTAGGCCAAAATGTATTCAGCTACATGTCTATGGTAAAAAAAAAAAAAACTCACTAAAAGTGTATTAATTGGTTTGCATGAAATTTAGAGCGTCTACAAATGTATATGTACTGTAATTTTTTTAATACTTGTAATGGCAGCAATCTTATAGTACTGTGGACTGTGATAGTACGGCGGGCGTTCCGACACTGGCTAACTGAAACCAATACAGTGATCAGTGCTAAAAAAAAAGCACTGACACTGTACTAATGACACTGGGCAGGAAGGGGTTAACATCTGGGACAATCAAAGGGTTTACTGTTTCACATTGTGTGCTGTGTGTGACTGTGTGCTGTTTTACTAGGTAATGTGACTTGTGTGTAATGTACTTGCAGGGAGACAAAACTGGCACATCCCCACTGTCAGTAGAGAGATCTGTGTTGTTTACCAACATAGATCTCTCTCCTGCTACTAGTTCCAACAGTTGGCAAGTCCCAGCTAGGAATCACCCAAAAAAGCAAAATCACGTATATATATATATATATATATATATATATATATATATATATATATGATTTTGCACAGCTGCATCACACTGTAGCAGTAAAGCTACAGAGTGCGGTCAGCAAGCAGTTAAGGACCAGGCCTATTCTGACACTTTTTGTTTACAAGTAAAAATCTGAATTTTTTGCTAGAAAATTACTTAGTACCACCATATATACAGTGAAGGAAATAAGTATTTGATCCCCTGCTGATTTTGAATGTTTGCCCACTCACAAAGAAATTATCAGTCTAAAAATCGAATGGTAGGTGTATTGTAACACTGAGAGACAGAATAGCAACAAAAAATTCAAAAGAAATGCATGTCTAACAAATTATGCACTGATTTGCATGTTCATGAGGGAATAAGTATTTGATCCCCTATCATTCAGCAGGATTTCTGGTTACCAGGTGTCTTTCATACAGGTAACAAGCTGATATTAGAAGCAGTCTCTTAAAGGGAGTGCTGCTAATCTCATTTTGTTACCTATATAAAAGACACCTGTCCAGAGGAGCAATCAAACAATCAGATTCCAAACTCTCCACCATGGCAAAGACCAAAGAGCTGTCCAAGGATGTCAGGGACAAGATTTTGAATGTTTGCCCACTTACAAAGAAATGGTCAGTCTAAAAATCGAATGGTAGGTGTATTGTAACACTGAGAGACAGAATAGCAACATAAAATTAAAAAAAAAAAAAAATACATGTCTAAGAAATGATGCACTGATTTGCATGTTCATGAGGGAAATAAGCATTGATCCCCTTCACAAAACATGACTTAGTACTTGGTGGCAAATCCCTTGTTGGCAATCACAGAGGTCAGACGTTTTCTGTAGTTGGCCACCAGGTTTGCACACATCTCAGGAGGGATTTTGGCCCACTCCTCTTGGCAGATCCTCTCCAAGTCATTAAGGTTTGGTGGCTGACGTTTGGCAACTCGCACTTTCAGCTCCCTTCACAGATTTTCAACTGAATTAAGGTCTGGAGACTGGCTAGGCCACTCCAGGACCTTAATGTGCTTCTTCTTGAGCCACGCCTTTGTTGCTTTGGCCATGTGTTTTGGGTCATTGTCATGCTGGACCACCCATCCATGACCCATTTTCATTGCCCTGACTGATGGAAGAAGGTTCTCACCCAAGATTTGATGGTACATTGCCACGTCCATCATCCCTTTGATGCGGTGTAGTTGTCACCCCCCAAATCAGAATGTTTCCACCACCGTGTTTGACAGTTGGGATGGTGTTCTTGGGGTCAAAGGCAGCATTCCTCCTCCTCCAAACACAGCGAGTTGAGTTGATGCCAAAGAGCTCGATTTTGGTCTCATCTGACCACAACACTTTCAACCAGTCCTCCTCTGCATTATTAAGATGTTCAGTGGCAAACTTCAGATGGGCCTGTACATGTGCTTTCTTAAGCAGAGAGACCTTGCGGGCACTGCAGGATTTTAATCCTTGTCGGCCTAGCGTGTTACCAATTGTTTTCTTGGTGACTGTGGTCCCAGCTGCCTGGAGATCATTGACAAGATCCTCACGTGTAGTTCTGGAATGATCTTGCATGCTGCACCAGACCTTGGGAGTTGTTTTGTGTTTCTTCCATTTGCGAATGATTGCACCAATTGCTGTCACCTTCTCACCAAGCTGCTTGGCGATAGTTTGGTAGCCCAGTCCAGCCTTGTGTTGGTCTACAATCTTGTCCCTGACATCCTTGGACAGCTCTTTGGTCTTTGCCATGGTGGAGAGTTTGGAATCTGTTCGATTGCTCCTGTAGACAGGTGTCTTTTTTACAGGTAACAAAATGAGATTAGCAGCACTCCCTTTAAGAGACTGCTTCTAATCTCAGATTGTTACCTGTATGAAAGACACCTGGTAGCCAGAAATCCTGCTGAATGATAGGGGATCAAATATTTATTTCCCTCATGAACATGCAAATCAGTGCATAATGTGTTAAGCACATCACTATTGGACTCTAGAGAAGTGGAGATGTGTTGGAGTGATGAAGCACACTGTCTCCGCTTGGAAATCCAATGGACTGGGTTTGGCGGTTGCCAAGAGAACGATCCTTGCCTGACTGCTTTGTGCCAAGTGTATTGTTTGGTGGGGGGGGATTATGGTATGGGGTTGTTTTTCAGGGGTTGGGCTTGGTCCCTTAGTTCCAGTGAAGGGAACTCTTAAGTTGTCAGCATCCCAAGACATTTTGGACAATTTCATGCCCCCAACTTTGTGAGAACAATTTGGGGATTGCCCCTTCCTGTTCCAACATGGCTGCGCACCAGTGCACAAAGCAAGGTCCATAACAACATGGATAAGCGAGTCCTGACCT